TATTTTGTTTTGTCCTTGTTAATTTTTTGTAGCATCAGGATTTAGCATAAGACCGAGGACTTAGCAGATACTCCACCGATGTCTATTTAACTGATAGGGTGTCTTCAAAATCCATTTTTAAGATAAATATTCATCTCATGGGAATCTCATGTCAATGTTTATCTAAACAATGCAGAAATGCATGCAGCGAAAGCACTCTTTACCAGCTTCTGCTCACCTATGCACCTGACTGCTGGCAACCGAATCTCCCCATCCCTTCTGTAAAGTATACTCTCTGATATGCTTGCACATTTCTGCCCCTCGACCAGAGTTGCACTTTATCAACTTATACATGTTGGGCTTGCTCCCAAGTCTGTTTATGACACCTGCAATTATTACTAAATAAATAGGTGTAATCCAATAAAATGTGAGTGTAAAAAGAGCTGTTTCTATGAAGACTAAGTTGATTGCTTTAGAACCACTTGACCAATGTGGTAACGCAAAAAGAAACTTTTTAATCAAATTAGACATGGAAGGAATGAAAGAGAAATTGTATAATTTGAAGATGACTTTGCACTGACATTTCAAGCATCTCAGTTCTCACTGTACTTAAAAAAAAACTGGAAGATGAGAATGGATGCACCATTATGATGTGGTATGTGCAAGAAAGAGCACATGGCTCTCCAAGCAGCTGACCATACTTAGTTTTACAATAAAAAATCGGCATACAATTGCACAGTTATGCGTTTTGGATTAAAATGAAACATCTAGAGTATACACTACATGTATTCTTTCTTAATGGTTGCTCCACTTTAACAGCTGTTCTCGATTAAGCGGTCAACCACATCCACAGGCCTCCTGCAAAAGAAGGCCCTTCCAGTGACAGCCTCCTTTTAGGAACGATTCATGGATGGAACACCCTACAACAATATACTGCTGTCACTTCCTTTCTAAAACAAACAAAACCAACCTGCCCTACACCACCAGTAAAATGGACACAGTATGTTGAATTTTCTCCTGTACTGAGATTGTGTTAAACACTCTCGTGGCTCCTTACCATAAATAAATTTTAAAGGTCTCTTGAAACACTCTCATTTAAATTCAGTTCCATAAATAAATACATAAATACATAAATAAATACTGTTCCCTTTTTAAAAGGATGAAATTTTCTATATTAAATAATTTCAATTTATGCAACATGTTAAGTTTCATGAGCCGTTTAAAACCCATCCATTCAAAATCATCAGATGTTTATTAAAATCTTCTGAGATGATAAAAGTTATAATGTATACAGGATTTGTGGCTGGCTGAACACTCACAATAGTTGGGAATAAAAGAATTTACTCATATTTGTCACTATTAACATCCCTACCTTTGCTTTTCACACTTACATCAAGTGAAAAACTCTTACCTACCTTTAGCAAGCTGAAACAAATACCCAAAAGCTAAGAAGTAAAAATGTATGTAACAAAATCACAAATTTAGCAATGAAGTAAATGTTTTTAGAAATTCAAGCTCCTTTAGGACTTTCCAAAAATGATAATCAACAGATAAAATGAAGAATAAATCTTCCATAGTTTTTGGGTAATAAAAACTTTTCAGTTATAAAAGTAGTTTTATTTAACTTACAAACTCTTTTTAAGCAACACTAATCAATTACAACTTAATAGCTGCTGCGTGGTGTTGAACTAATTAATTAACCTTCCTGAGCTTCCTCATTTACAAAATGGAGTAATACCTATCTCATTTGCTAGTAATATGTAAACTGTCTAGTGCACAGCTGAAAATAAATTCATGTGACACCCTTCATATGTATATAAAGCCAAATATTCTTAACAGTGATGGAGGCAGAGAGACAACAAAGTATATGAATTCTCCCAAAGTGTATGCAAAACTTTGTGCATATATGCTTACGTACACTTTACTTGGGAAAGGATCCACAGGTTTTCATCTGATTCTCTAAGCAGACCATACCCCAAAAAGTTTAAAAGCCTTTGGCTTTACTGCCTGTCCCCAGATTCATAAAGTTTATAAAATTTAACTGAGAACTCTAGACACCAGTTAACTTTAAATTACTCAAGAACAACCACAACAAAAAGTTCAATTAAAAGCATGATCATGGTATGGTATACATTCTTTTATTTCTCTTATAAAAAATAAACAAACTTTAATTTACTTGGCTCAAATTATTTCCCAGCCTTACTGTAAATCAAATACCCAAATTCAAAACCAAAATTTAAAAATGTAAAACAAACAAACAAAAAACAGTAACATACACACAAACAGGGAAACCTTAAATAGCCAAGAATTAAAGCTCTATTACTTGTATAATACAGTAACAATTGTTCCTTCTTTGGAGTTAATTTTTCAAATTACTTCACCCCTTCATTCTGATTCAAAGTTAACAACCTTAACTTCAAACAGCTATTATGTATGTGTTTTCACTGTGTGCAATAAGGAAGCTGTAAGGTATCACAGAAGGGACCCTACACTAGGAACCACGGAAAGCAAGGTTATGGTCCTGTTCTGTCACTCACTGACTCTCTGCACACAGCTGGACCTCAGCGTTCCGCGGTACTATAATCCTATATAAAAACATGCAATCCCGAAGTAAAAGACTAAGTTACCTGCTCTCCTAATGTTGCACTTCACTTTATTCCTAAAACAGAATCTTACAAAAGGGAGGACACCTGATAAGACATTTGATTCTAAGTCTAATGAGAAAATATGCCCAAAATAATAAGACTTTGAATTACAGACAGTTCTGTTCCCACTCTCAAGGCAGAAACACTCAGAGCAGAGCTTACACTGGGGACACTCCAAGCTTCAGCTGAGCATGAGTAAGAACACCAAACACCTTCCACCATACTGCTCCTTTCCTTAGTGCGAACGGCACTTACAAGAAAGATTTAACAACAAACATATAAGCAGACAAAAATAATGATAGATAAACCGTTACTTGTATTTCATTGAAAAAAAGTATGGAAAAGGGAGCTTATTTTAACTGATTTTATTTCCAAACTGTCCTTTCCAAAACAAGTTTCTCATTGAAATACAAAGTAAGGCTTTACATACCAAGATACCCTCTATGCTGAAAAGGGGTATCCCTCTTCCCACACACACACACGAAGCAACTATATGAAAGTTAAGCATTTAATAAGTAGGTCAAATACAACTCTGAATGTATTCCTGTAAAAGCTACACAATATACATGAAAGGCAAATTAGCCTGGCAAGACTTGGTTTTCTGAAAGGCTGTGATGACTAAAACTTCAGGACTAGAACATGATACTTATTAAAAGAAACCGGAGCGGCGTCCTCCAGCACAAGAACTACTACAAACAGCGTTCCAGGCTGAACTCACAGTCTAGTATCCTAGGCCTCCACCATCTTTTCCAATTTCCCCCACGTGGTGCATAGTGTGAATCCAAGAAAACAATCAGTAATTCATCTGCTGAAGGTCAGCTATAAAACACAATGAGGCCCATGCACTTAAATTATTTAAAAGGAGGAGAAAAAGAAACCCTAGATAAGGTCTCGTTGAAAATAATGCCACAGAATCCAGCAAACAGCATAACTGTACAAAAAAGACCAGAATGAGATAGCATGTTGGACTGTCATCACATGACATATACCAAACACTCCCCGCCACGTTAAAAAAAAAAGTTCACTCAGCACCGGATTCACAGCTTTCTACATGACTTCAATACCAGCCAAGGGTTTTTAAAACGCCTGACCTCACGGACAAGACTTCCAGGCAAACGTTGATGAGGCCACCTGGGAAAGATCACCATCGACTGCCAATATTTCAGATCTAATAAAAGTATTCAGATCTAATATTTCAGATCTAATAATAGTCTTATCAAGTTAAAGTGCAAAGATATCAATCTCCACATTCAAATATTTTATAGCACATTTCAACTAAGTTCAAAGGGACAAAAGATTGAATCCGTAATTTCTTATTTGTGCAAGTAGAATTTAGAGATTATTTCTTAAGTAATTAGACCTAATTCTTCTTGTGGCCCTCAGAACACAGTTTACCTGTTGGAAGGAGTATAAATAAATAAACTTTTATACAGATGGCATTTTGGCATATCTATCAAAAATTAAAATACACATGTACCCTTTGGCCCACCAGTTACATTTTGAGGAATTTATCCCAAGAAATTTTTGGATGCAGGTGCAAAAATGTTATTCACTACAGCATTTTGTAAAGGTGAAAAATCATATTGCTGATTAACATTTGGGGTACCACACAAAGGAATGAGCCAGACCCATATGTATGGATGTGTAAGGAACTCCGAGACAATTTATTTGTTCAGTGAAAATTGCAAGCCGCACAACAACAGGTATAGTAAAAACATATTTATGTCAAGAAAATTGTACGCATGTGTGTGTAACTGCATAGAAAATGGTCTGAAAGAATGCACAGCAAACAGAGGCTATCATCTGAAGAAAGAAAAGTGGGTCAATGTAAGTGGGTTGAGGTTGGCATGAGGGGAAGGGCAATTTCAGAGACAAACTTTTATTTTCTACTCCACATACATCTGTATTATTCATTTACATCATGTAGATAAAACATTTGATCTTTATAGAAAAGATGTAATGTCTAATTTTAGCTGAACTCTAGAAGCATCTAAAGAGAATGCTAAAATAATAAAAGAAGTAAAGGCTGTTGGTAGTCAAAAACATCCTTTGTGACTTTAACCTTCAAGGGAATAAAGACAAATGTGGGTAGCATCAATCAGCAGTTACAAGTGAGCATGACAGTGTTTTCATAAAAGAGCACGTGTCAATCAGAGAACAAAAGGATTTGCCTCTTAGAACTTGAAGAATATAAAAAATACTAAAATCAGAAATATTATTAAAAAGACATAAATCATTCCAAATGTCTCTGAAAAATACAGTTTTAACAATGAATCCTATTACTTTGGTACAAGATGTATTCTGGGTGGTATGTACTTTTGACTTAAAAAGCTGGCATGTAATAAAGCACTGAATGGTATGCAGTGTTTATCTTACCTGGACATTTTCTTCTGTAACCTGGATTTCTGCAGTGTAAACATAATCAATGAGCATCCTCAGGGTCCAGCCATCTACCTCTTTTATTCGGACTCTCTTTGCTCGGCTCTCACTCATCTCACCTAAAACACAAAGGAGTGAGAGTGACGCAGCGGCGGGATCCTGCTGAGGAAGTATCAATGCCAAGACAGACTCATCTATTTTCTTGCCACTCACTGTATTCAGTAAGCAACTTATCAGCCGCTTTTTGCAGGCCTAAAACATTCCCCTACCTCCCCTACAGGCTCACCTGAGCAAACCATAACATGTACTCTTGTCACCACTTGTACCTGAAAAAAATCCCATCACAATAATGAATGTGCCACATGTCTAACTGCATAAACTATAACACCTGTGTCCTTACAGATTCAGCAACTGATGCTGTCCATGGGTTGGTTGTTTATTTATTTATTTATTTTTGCAGGGGGGGGGCAAAGGGGAGGGGGAAAACTGCGCATTCTTCTGAGCAGTTTTGTTTTCTTTTTGCATTTCTGCTCATGACCAGAAGAGTCACAGGGTCACCCCCTGGCTGTGAACAGCAATGAACGGTTGCTGAGAAGGACCCATTTGGTTAGCAGCATCCATTCAACAAGCACACCAGTGCCTGCCGTGGCCGTGCACGGTCTGCGCTGGGCGCAGAGGCTCTGCCATCATCGGGAGGGCACAACGGTCATGCAGGACACAGTCTGAACGAGGTTACATAAGATGCTGCGGGAATGCAAGACAAAAGAGGGACCACAGAAGGGTTAGTTGACAGAAAATGCTCGTTATAAGATCTTCTAGCCCAAGTTCCAGTCCCGTTAGTCCCCTGTGCTAAAGGGGACTAACTTCATCCTGAAATCATTTCCATACCAGAATTTATTACGAAAGCCAGATACCCTTCTACATCACTGCCTGCTGAAAGCGGTAAAGGACCTCTCTCCCAAAACCCACAGAACTAATTAAGAATTCGGGGATCATAAATAAGATCCTCTCTTGTGGAAAGAAACAGGGAAGCAGAAAGGAGAAGGGATGGTCCCTAAACCAAAGGGACTTAGGAGAAGAGGAAGCAGGTTTATGTGTAGACAGCAAAATGGCCCTTGACATGGCCAGACATAAGCAATGAAATGGTGGGGAAAGAAAACTTCAACTAAAAACGACAAGGGCAGTCTAAAAACTGTGTCGAGAGCAGAAAGACAGGTTTCTAAAACTCATCAGATTTTAAAGATAAAAGCAGCAGCATGAAAACTGATGCTGGTGTCCTTCACCCTCACCTTAATCAGGCATCTTTTGTTACAAAAGGAACACGATGACCTCTAGGTTTCTTAAAAGTTCATTTCTTTTTCAGATACAGTGCACTGTCAGCAAAAAGCCTATCACTGCAGCATTATTCACAGTGGCCAAGACACGAAGACAACCAAGACGTCCTTCAACAGATAAATTGATAAAGATGTGGTACATATATACAGTGGAATACTGCTCAGCCACAGGAAAAGATTCAACACTGCCATTTGTGACAACATGGATGGACCCTGAGACTATTACACTAAGCAAAAGAAGTCAGTCAGAAAGCTAAGAACCATATAAATTCACTCATATGTGAGATATAAAATCAAAACTCATAGACACAGACAACAGTATGGTGGTTGCCAGTGGAAAGGGGGTGGAGGGTATACTAAAAGGGACCAAACAGATGGTGACACGATGACCTGACTTTGATGATGGGCACACAATGCAATATACATATCAGGTATCACAGAAATGTACACCTGAAACCTATATGGTCTCATTAACCAATGTCACCCCAATAAATTTAATTTAAAAAGAAAAAGAAAAGCCTAAGGGACTCCATCATTACACAAAATTCCTTTGCAAACACAAACCCTGGGAGAAAAGAAATAATAGTGATGCGCATTTAACTGCATGCTCCCCTGGGGATTATCTCTGACAAGGTCTCAGAAAGAAGCTGTTCTCCTGAGAGCTAAAGTATCTCAAAAACTATCCTACTTCCCAGGAGGGGGATGGGTAGGGGGAACATCCATCAGTGTCACAAGGGAAGGAGCTAGTTAAGAGAAAAGGGTACTTATGTCTATATAGCAGGAAGATAGGAGACTGGATTATGTGTCTCCTGTTAAAGCGCATTTCTTTTCCCCCCTTAAAGAAAAAGGGGAAAAAAGGAGGACTGAGGAACAGAGGGAAACCATTCTCTATCTGCATACAAGGCATCTTCTACTGTCCTTCTGGGTCTCGTGGATAGACTAGATTTGTATCATCCAGAAGCTCTTTTGTGCCAAAAGTAAAGATATTTTGGTGATTCCCATGTGGACTTTCATTGATTTATTTTTTTATCCTCACCCAAGAATATTTTTTCATTGCTTTTAGACAGAGAGTAAGGGAGGGAGAGAAACATGGATGAGAAACACTGATTGGCTGCCTCTTGTACGCACGCCCCCGACTGGACATAGTATGCCCCTGGGCCGGGAATCCAACCCGCAACCTAGGTATAAGCCCTGACCAGGTTTCAAACTTGCAACCTTTCGATTACCTGACAACGCTCCAACCAACTGAGCCGCACTGACCAGGGCTCCCACATGGACTTTTAGAATTAGCCACATCCAACTGACCCATAGGGCCCCTGTGATGTGCACAGCCGTCCGCAGCCTGGGGCTGCGCGCACATAAAGCCCGCACCTCTTTACCAAGGAAGGAATTCACTCCTCAGGGTTTAGGCATGACTTAGCTTAGAGAAAAATATTTACAAATATAACTGAAAAACCTACCAAGTCCCCTACCAAGCATATTTTAAATATTACTTTAAATATTTTAATATTTTAAATATTATAGTTTTTAAAACATTGCTCTAAGATGCACTTTACTAATTCATATATTCCTTACATCATTTTTAATATAAACTGTCTCTCCCCAGGAAAATGTATATCCACTTTTGGCAAATTCAACCCCAATCATACACAGCTTCAGAAACATTTTAATCTTTATTTTTCATATTTACAACCACAGATTGCATTGTAAGTTTAAAAAATTCTAGTAACCACTAAGAATCAAAACATATACTAAAGAGTTGTGAAAGCTATTTCTGTTATTTTAACATAGTACCTTAGTTATTGCCCTTTGCCATGTTCATAAAGAAAATCTTTAAACAGTATGGTTTTGCAAGATTTATTTTTGAAAATGCCTTTTTAAAAGATAGCCAGTGATACTGTACAGAGCTCATCTTGTATCATTTTTAACTTCCTGTACTCACTCTCTTGGATTAGAAGGTTGGTTTCTGTGTTTTTGAACATGTAAAAGCTACACTAGGATATCCACACAGACACCATCACTGAAAACCTGAGGATCACCCTGGACTCTCCCTTCTTCAGCCACCCATCCATGCCGTCACTCACCGAAGCCTGCAGAACTAACCTCAGACAGCTCTCACATCAACCCCCTCGCCTCTCCATCCCTTCGCCCACGGAGCTGCTGGGGCTCCCCCTCACCTCTGCCAACGCCACTGCAGGAGCCTCCTTGTTCTTTCCCTCCCTCCGGAACGGACTCCACAGCTCTGGCAGTGGCACCCAGAAGCCTTCACGGTCCCACCCAGGCATGCAGGCCTCTTCCACGTCCACCCCTGCTTTGCTATCCAGCCTCCTCTCTTTCTCCCACTTCTAGTCTTAAAATACACCAAGAAGGAGCTTTTTGTCCTTTTCCCTGTACACTGAGCGATTTCCTACCAAGATGTGTCTGTTGAGCTTGGTCCTCATCTCCCCACCCCCCTCACTCCACAGTCTAATCCCTACGGAATCTCTCCAGGTAGCCTCACTGGGCGGTGACCCAAGGCTGTGCTAGGCTCTCACCCTGAGTACGCGTGGGTACCTTCTGCAAAGCCACTCTATCATAACGATACCTAGTTCTCCCCACCTGAATTCTTAAGCTCCGGGAGAGGAGGGACGATGTCTTTCTTATCTCTGTATCATATAATGGCTGACATATGGTAAATACCCAGTAAATACTGGATGGATGAATGAATGACTAGAAGAATGAAATGTTAAACAAGTGCCAATTTAAGATGTAGCATTTTAACATAATTAATAACACTTAAATTAGTCTTGAACACGGGTATTCTAGCTATGAAGGATTTCATCAACAAACATTTATTGACATCCACCAAGTATTCTTGGAGGAGCCAAGCAATTTCACTAGTGAACTGAACCATCTCTACTTTGTTTGAGAGAAGAAATCGCGTCCTTCGAATTGTAAAAGCTTAAAGACGTAAGTGAGAATAGAAACATTTCCATTTCAAAAACTTTTAATCAGAACTCATGAAGCCCAGTGGTAGAAATTAAAATTCAATACTTCCCCACTACATTTTAGATACTTTAGCCTCTCATTTGTAAGTGAAACAGCTTTTTAAATTCCACATTTGTAACAAACAAGTAACTTTAAAAAAGAGAGGAGCTTGATACATTCTTTCTTAAGTAAACAGTTAACTTGGCCTTGCTCTAAGTAGACCCATACTTCAAAGTAAAAATATGGAACTATATCACAGAATTACTTTTCACCTCCCTTCTCTATCCAAAAACTCTAGGATGAGTAACAAGATTCCTTTTTAGGTGACATAGTTTGAACAAAAAACTCACCTACAGTTTATGGGAGATTAAAAACGGGCCAAAAAGGATCATCTGCATATTCTCCATTTTCTAAGAGGTGAGTCACAGCAAAACAAGGAGGGTGACGCCCTGTGCCACTGTAAACACTTCTTATTATCCATTAAGCAGGAGAACATAAACACGTGGCATATGACAGAATGGAAATATGTAAGGTCTACTTGACCTTCGTTATATTTTTTGTAATACACTTTAACAATGTTACAGACCAAGAAAAGAAATAAAGGGACTCATATTCTAGCAAATTTTAAATTAATATAGTATGTAAACTACACCACCTAGACCAAATCTCTGTATCTTCTTTACCTAATCTCTGCCAAACTGTTTGTTATTCAGTGGATTCAGAAGAAGAAAAAGTTCAAAGATTGCCAGATCGGTAAACAGCATCTGTTAATGAAGAACCATAAAAGTCTAGCCTACTGAGCACATGAAATGATGTGCAACATCATTAGTTATTAGGGAAGTGCAAAATAAAACTATAGTAGATGCCATTTCACACTCATTAGTGAAAACCCATGACTACAATTTTTTTTAAAAAGAAAGAGTAACAAGTTTTGTCAAGAAAGTTGGAGAAATGGGAACCCTTCTGCACTGCTGGTGGGAAAATAAATTGGTGCAGTCACTATGGAAAACAGCATAGCAAAAATTTAAATATAATTTTACCATATGAACCAGCAATTCTACTCGATATCTACCTACCCTCATGATAAATGAAAATATTTGTCTACACAAAGAACTATACACAAATGTTCACAGCAGCACTACTCATAATAGCCAAAACCTAGAAACAATCTGAATGTCCATCAACCGGTGAATGAATAATCAAAATGTGGTATATTCATACCATGGCATGTATTCAGCAATAAAAAGTAACAAATCAATGAAACATACTGGGACATGAAGTCTACGAGGGAAGGGGTGAAAACGATGATAGAAGGTGCATAAAAGAAGAAAAAAAGTCTAGTCGAAGCTTTCTTAATCTTCTGTTCTTACACAATATAAAGACATTTAGGAATTGAGAGTAAAACATATTAATAATAACAACCATGATAATTACTGCCAATATTAAATATTTTCTATGTGCTAAGTACTAAGAAATTCATACATAATCTCATTTTTGCAAAACCCTAAGAACTGAGTGATACTATTATTTTCCCAATTTCCCAGATGGGTAAATTGAAGGACAGACTGATAAAGTGACTGAGTAAAGCGCAGACTGATGAAGTGATTGATGATCCCAAAGGTCCACAATTCCAGCAAGGAATTCAGAAGTGGCAATAGCAGTGTCAGCTGAAGGACCACTTACAGAGACAGCACTTCACTAGGGAATTCCTAAATGAAGCCAATACATTTCAAATCGAGCCCTCCTCTTACAAGCCTGGAGATTCTGCTTAGAAGGGGCAGGGGTAACAAGAAAGATGCAAACCAGAGACGGAAAGGCCCACCAGGACACGAAAATTTGACGAGCCCCCCCTTTATTGTATTGCCTTGCCAAAGCACCCAGTGGAAGCGCCTTCCCAACTCGCCATCCCAGCCTGGCCCACAGCCCCTCTGCCGCCCTCCCTACATCCTGGATTATTGCACTCGGTTCAGGGACGGCAAGACTGCAACAGGCTGAAAAGTGAGGTAGCCTCCAAATCTCTCTGCTCCGCAAACACCAAGTTCTTTCTCTCCGCGTGGCCTTCTGCATTTGTCCTCCTCTGTGTAAGCCCTTGATATCCATTTGTTTTCAAGGAACAGCAGCCCCCTCCCCCGATGCTGCCCGTCACAGCCCTCCCTTCTGCATCCCTGCTCTGGGCGCACAGGCCTTCCCTCACTGTCACGTATTTAGCTGTGCACATCTCATCTCCCCAACAGCACAATGAGCCACTGGGGCAGGAAGTGCTCATACACTGTCCAGATCTAAAACAACAAGCCGTAGCTAAAATATTTCATACCTGTAAACATGGCGTGAAAATAAGGACTGCAGGCGGCCAGCACCACTCGATGAGCAGGGATTTCCATGTCTTCAGCCACAATCGTGACATCACACAGCAAATTTTGACTGTTTGCAAAGCAAAGAGAAAAAAATTTAATCATATCTATAAGTGTCCTGAGCATTCTATGCAAAAATGTTACAGTAAGAGCCCACTTTCCTGAGGTTGAGGCTGACTGAAAACTACCATCCTTTAGAAGAGGATTCCCACACAGGAAGTACACAAAAACTGTCATGACAAAGGCCAACTTGCCTTGGGCCTCACTCAGAATCTTGCCTTTGTTTAACAGAGAAATATTTCCACACTTGATTACTGATTACTGGCGGCAAACCATCAATGGATTGTTTAAGAAGTGCGTGTTTGAATTAAGAACAGCATCAGCAGAAATGGCAGATGGCAGCCTGACATTAAGAGGAAGACACGATAAAACATGTAGAAAACTAAACTGGGTTGATGGCCAAAAAAATACGTATTTAAAATGACCTTGGGTTATTATAAAATTAAAAAGAATTTTGTTACCTTAAACCATTATTTTTCCTTAAACAAACCATTATTTAGTGAACATACCTCCAATTCTAAACTATCCACTTTAATTCATTCACAAACAAGTGGTAGACATTTTTTTACATACTATGCAAGCTGCTCAGTGAGATCCTCCAGCTCCATAAAAATGTCTTTTCGGCAAAAAACGTTGCTGATGTTTATTCCAAACAAGAAGGCGCCAACTCTAAAACTGACCTTACTCAGAGTCATGGCATCAACGGCTGAAACAGGTGTGGTGAAATCAAAAATCCTTTCAACACACCTCAAATACCTGAGCATGGAATTTATGTTTATAGCATCCATAGGTCATGCGTGGCCCTGCCTCTACTATTCCTCCTACATCCTCCAAGCGCGGCCCACCTGCTTCTGTGAGTTTCTAGTCTTCTAAGTAACATTTTCACAAGACTTTCACCAAGTCCTGGAAGTTTTCCACTTTCCCACACTGCTTACAAACTTGTTTCTGTGGAGTTCACACCAAAACTTTTCAGAGATCCTACTGGCACCTGTCCTCCCTCCAGCCTAGGAGAAACTGTAAGAAGCGCAGCGCCCTCTTGCACCGGTGACGGCTGCAGTCCTGGGCCTCACGGGCGACGAGCCCCCTGTGCCCTTTAGGCTGAGGTACCGCTCATGGGTGGTGCTGACGTGATGGCTCACGATGCTGCATGAGTCATCCGGCAGGTCCTCCATTACAGTGAGGAAAGGTGCCACCATGGTTCACTCATCTGTCATTCCTCCACATCACTAATTTGTGATTCCTCCATCGGGATCTGACAATGTCTACCATCTGCTCCGAGAATGGAAAAGCACTCTTCAATTCTATCCATTCCATGGGTTCACAAATAACTAGGGTGAGAAAAGTCAGCAGTATTTTCAGGAGGGTACAACACAAAAGCTTCACTTTCATGTAGTATCTCATTTAGACCCCACCACAATCTTATGAGGTAGGTATAATTAGGACTTTTACTCCCAAAATGTATAGCCATGGAAGCCAGGGTTAAAGATGAGTAACGAGCCTAAAGTCCCCACTAGCGGCAATATCAGGATTCAAACCCATAGAGTCTAGCCCCAGAGGTCTCCTAACCGCTACACAAAACCATCTGAATTTGTGTTTTTAAGACCTGTTAAAGTTTTAATGAAACAGGCAATAGAAAATATAAATTATAAATAACACCAAATTATTATTTGACATACTATATACGAAGAACTATTTTTTTTTATAGTTCTAGTTTATAAAAGGCCTGATTTTAGTGGGTTTTGAGCACCACTCTACAAGAGTATTTAGAAAAATCAAAGTTTATTTGCTCATTCAACAAGGCATTATAGGATCATCTCTGCTTAAGGAGACCAGAAAAAGGACTGACAATCAAAGATTACAGGACAGAGTGGAAAACTGTAAAATGTAAAAGTTGTAAAAATGCTATGGGAATAGGGGAGCATCTAAATCAGACTGGTGATCAGAAAAGGCTTCCTGCCGCTACTGACCTTAAGCTGAGTTCTAAAAAAAAGTAAATGTTAGCTGGAAGAAGAGGGAGCAGGAGAACTCTAAGCGACAGAAGAGAATGTGCTGTTGCATGGAGACCTGAAGCAGCAAAGTCCAGTGGGGACCTGTGGAACAAGAAGTGTGAAGAGACAAGAGGGCGTGAGCAAAGCAGGAGGGGAGGGGATGGCAGTCGGCAGAGCCACTGCACAAGCCTCTCGAGAGGGGCATCTGCGTCTTCCTACCGTGACCACGGGATCTGGACTCAAATCAAACCTCAGCCCACGGCATCTTTAATGTAGGTTTTCCTTTTGTCAGTCATCCCTCTCCTTGCTCTAGTTTCAAGATGGAACTTGAGTGGAATTATACTTTAACACCTCAAAATCACATCATCAATTCCATTCAGCTTCAATTACAATTACTCATTGATCCAGACCTTGTAGCGTAATACCTGCTGGGTGTTGCATAATTAGCTTGGTCTTACTGCCTTATTAGCTGATGTTAGTTAACTAATAAGGAAAAAGCATTCCCAAACTAGTAACATGCAGCCACGCCTTGGGTGAGGTCACAGGGAGTCAAAGAGCCACATTACAAATCAACGAACTGAATTACTACGGGGTGAGAAGAGAAAGGCTACAAACAAAAAGTCTGGCAATAAAAATAAGAGACACTTGTTTGAAACCAGTCTACAGGGTACGTTTTTGAGTTTATGTTCCTATTACTTGAAATCTAATAAGGGAATGGACTGTAGGAAAAGAAAGCTTTCAGAATGAGATAAAGTTGTTATTCAGCAAAGTTTGCACTTATTCACTCATTTAGCAAATAACCAGAGTGGCTACTGTGCGCCAAGCACTATGTCAGTTTACCACAATAAACAGGATAATGCCTATGACAGCAAAGAATGTACAGTCGCGCAGGGAAAACAGACAAGCTAAGCGGTAATTACAAAATGAACCTATGACTATTAAGATGACGCAAGCATCTGGTGTTTGGGAGTGCACAGGAGCCACCGAGCCCAACTTCACGGGGCCTTTGGGAAGAAGTTGCTTCTAAGCTCAAATCTGAAGAACAGGGGTTACCTTACGTAAGACTCAGGTGGCACAGAAAAATGAAAGGTGCTCCATCTCCTGAATGAAATGACATCATGAGAATGGGCCCTTCTCAGGAAAAAAACTGCTTTGAAAATTAATAAAACATGCCTCAACATGCCAAGACATTATTTGGTTTTAAATGAATGAATTCTTAGGACTAGAAAACCTATCACTGTTGTGCATATTATCTTCTCAAGGTAAAATGTGCCTTCAGGCTCTGAGATATCAAAAATAATTAGTAGTCACATGAAACAAGAATTTACTTTCTCCTGGAAGTGGGGGTGGTAGGCAGATGACATGGCATCTGTCTGCCTTTCTTTCCCGGGTGCCAGGGAAAATCTGGAGGCACTTCCTACCACATGGCATGGAAGTGAAGTAACAATTGAGGGGCCAGGCTGGCGAGATGTACCGTTAGTCAGAGTCCATGGGGCAAACACAAACCATAGCCTAGGAATGTGCCCCAAGACATACTGGAACAGCATCAGGTGTCAGGACAAAGAAACAAGGAAAGACATTTTTTTAAAAAGTGAGGGGCAGGGGGGAAGAGGTCAAAAGCCAAGGAAATTAAAAGCTGGTCAGGAAGCAGGGTGAGCCAGATGTGGTGCTGCTGTTTGGAACACAGCCGCACCACCGAGTACTGGCTCCCTGGCACATAAGGAGGTGGGGTAGAGAGGTGAGCTGTTTCAAAGGTAAAAGGCTACCTGATGGCTGACTTAAATTAGTCATTTTAACAAAACTTCCTCGAATCGACAACGTCATTTAACAGGCAAGGCAGATGCAACCTGGCTAAAATGTCAATAAAATCAAAGAACAACAAAACTCTAAGCCAAGGGCCACTGCTGTTTGTCTTCTTTTTCTTTTTAAAATCATGACGGTTTCAATTTGAATTTCTGTAGCAGTTCAGCACAAGGAAAACCTAGATGTTGGGTGTAGTAAGATCCACCACACTAATAGTCCTGAAGAACAGCACAGCCTCAACAGATCTGCACCCACTGAGACTTTCAAACAAGAAGAAGCAACAGTGACAGTCAACTTAGAAAGCTGCAGGGAAACCTACTTAAGTGACTGAGAAACTGTTTTAAATAAGGGGCCCCAGAAGAGAGAATCTTTTCAGATAGACTCAAGACAGCAGAGTAACAGTAAAAGCTGACAAATCAGAGCCACAGGAAGACATGGCAGAAAGCATGTTACTGTCTGTAGGGAAGGGAAGGGAAAGGAAGGGAAGGGAAGGGAAGGGAAGGGAAGATCTCCTGATCTGAGGACCTGCAAGAATACTTGGTCACCACTGAGAGCAGATGAAAAGAATAAATAGAAATAAAGTAAAAGAAGGCATTAGGGACAGAAAAAAGGTGGTGGGGAGGGAGCACAGTAGAGAGAAGGAAGTTAAAAGATTTGAGGGAAAACTAATGCAGAGCTGAGTTTCTAAATGTGTGAGTGAAAAGCTCCACAACCTGGTAGAAAACACAGAATATGTACAAAGGGAACGTCCTCATTGAAAGTGGGTTTTTTTCAACTTGGTGAAATAAATCACAAGGTAGATACTCTTAGCTTCAATAATTTTTAAAAAATAAGCCAAACTAAGATTTCCTGGTTTCCTGACTTAGGATGGGATGCTGAGGCTAACAGAAGCAGCACAGTGTCTCACACATGCTAAATATTCAGCAACACGAAGAGAACAGGAAGTAGAAGTTATGTTAGTCAATTCATTTCCTACCATCCATTCTTCAATTTTTGAAATTTTTTAATGATTCTGTCCATGCTCAATAAGCACCATTTTAAAAAAAGATCAATCCCAAGTGCTGAAAAATCACTGTAGAAGATTACCAGTTACACTGAGACTGTAAACTTCAAAATATCTCTTCAACTTTCTAAACAAGCTCGCTTGATCCGGGGGTTCTTTCCAACTTTTCTGTACTTCAAGGAATGTTTTATATTCTACTCTAACACAACACAGAAACAAAAGAACCTGACAGTGTCTTACTATAGAAAAATATACACATTTGAGCAATAAAAATTTCATATCCTATATAATTTCCTAAAATCTCTTGTAGAAACAGTGATATAAAGCTATGAGGAGAAAAGCAAGCCCACTTAAGTTTATTATTTAATTCATTTGCCAGCTAAGCAACAAAATACAAATAACCAAAGAACCACAACTCAAATTTTTCACAGATGCACAGCAGATAATTTTATCCTAGTAGTGATCTAGGGCCACAATGTCTAAAAGTCCTGGGGGAAAAATACAACAAGCACTCCTTTAAGAGAGAGCTCTTTCATTTAAATTATCTTCTAGAATGTAAGATCTGCTGTTATAACTGAATAACTAAATACTTGTGGCTTATCTGTAAGTGAACATTTGAATTGTCTCATACGACTTATCTACTGAAAACTTCGAAGTCCTAAATATAACTTAAGGATCAAAATTATTTTCCTTCTAAACAATAGGTTGGCCCCCACTAATACTCATTGAAATTTTTAAAGCTCCAATACAGTCTTATCCCATATCCTAGAAAATCGAAGTGGGTTTTATTTAAAATTTATTTAAAGGCAAAATGCTACCTTTGACAGCTTTTTTTTTTTTTTTTTTTTGGACATCTCAAAAAACTCACAGTCTAAGGTTCTCAATAAAACTTAGGTCTGGGATTTAGTCTGCTTCTCTGCCTCCTCAGCAACCCAATACAGTGCGTTGCATAATAAGCCCTCTGTAAAGATGCATTGGCTTAATTTTGAAAATGCTAGTGTTTTGAAAAACTCGTCCCCCACCCCCAACCCCTGTTTGGAAAATTTAAAGAAATGAATTTCCCACCAGAGATACGTTGCTGTGCTCGACTTGTCCTTTTACTACACTGCCAGGTTGTTCCTCTGACATCATTCATGTTACAATGCTACTACCTTTCAAACACCTTTACTGATTCCTACTACCCACAGGATTAGGTCTCAAGTCACCACACCATTTAAACCTGCCACAGGACTGTGCTTCTCTTGCTTCCGAGCCTTTTCTACAGACTTCCCGGTACGAATTCTTGATTCACTTTATCCAACAGGTTATGTTTATCCCCTCCCTAGCTCGTGTAACTATCCAGACCAGGGACTGCCTTTTCTCTCCCATCCTCTGTATGAACCCTACTACACTCCCACCAGGCCCAGCTGACACCACCTTTGCGGATCGCTGTGGATTTATCCTGTGAGAATCCTTTGCAGCACCCACATCTTGCAAACAGTTTTCCACCACCTCATCCTCCTCTCTGGCATCTCCTGCAGCAATCAAGACACTTGCAAGGGCACGGGCAAGTCTGACACTGTTTTTCGGCCCCCAGCCTTTTGGGCATGCTCGATGATCTTAAAGGGGAACTTGGTGTATGCAAATACCTGCTAAATACACTGCTTAGAAGTGACTGCACGATTTCTAATCCAAATAATTTAAAGTCATTCAAGCTTACATTGAGCTGGGACAGAGAGCTGTATCTGAGCCTCCTGTCTTAAACAAAACAAAACAAAAACCTAGTTTAAAGAAAATGTAACATTTCTTTTCTATAAACTATATTAATTCTATAACTGAAATTTTACAAAACTGTCTCCCCACTCCCATGACCACACTTTCTACCAACCAAAATTGGAAGAAAAGTAACTTTTACTCCTTAAATTTCACTTCCATCAGCTAAAAGCTCATAAATACTCTCTGGCGTACAGCTGTTATTGTACCAAGTTGAAGGGACAGCCCAAGTGCAGGGCGCTGAGAACAAGGAAGTTCCCTTTCCTAGCAGTCAGGAAGTCACTCTCAGCGACCCTTTCCTGGCAGCAGGAGGCTGATGCAAGCACAGTGTGTAAGAAGTGATTTTCAGTTGCACAAGGAGTAGGCCTCTTCAAAGACTTTTTTTTTTTTTTTATTATTCAAATTGACTCTAAGGGGTAAGAGAGAAGAGAATGGTATTAAATACAAAAAAAGGGGAGCGGGGAAGATTCTAAGGAATCCCAAAGAGGGTTCATTTTTTAAAACACAAGCAGTTGATGACTTCGTTAAAACAATCCCAGTTGTAGATCTGGCAGCCAACACTCTCCAGCTATTCAAAGGCCATTCTTCATTTTGAAAGTCAGCTGCAACAAGAAAGTACTATTTCATAGCCATGTAGTTCACACCCAAAATGAAACAAATAGGTAAGTGAAGGCTACAGCTAAATAATCCTAGGGCAAGGCAAGAATACCACGTGACCTGCAGGTAAGCAGGCAGACCATCTCCTAGGCTCAGAGAATGCCCACGCTGCAGTGAACCTTAGGCTTCATCCTGTCCATTCCCCTCCCCTTACAGTTAAGGCTCGAAGAGACACGCTCACACACCAGCAGCAGAAGGTCGCAGCTACTGCACCGCCTGGATTGGGGGGCAAAATGTGAGTACAACTATTTAAAGTCAGTCTTTCTAAACTTTTCAAAGAAAAAGGAAAGCCACTAAAGATCTCAGTCATAAAATAACCTGAATATTTTTCTTAACTTTTCTTTTAGTTCCACTTAGTAACCACTGCATTTTAGATTCTAATAATTATTGTTGCAATGAGATTAAAATATTCAAACAGCAAGGCCACACGTGCTGGGTAATCCCAGCGATATTTTTTCACAAAGGCTAAATGAAAACCTACTTATTGAAAATGTCAGAGCAAGACTAGGAAGCAAATCAAACATCCAATATTCAGTTTAACTTACTCTTGTCTCTCTCTCTTCAATCTACTCTGCACCCAAAAGCCAGTGTGTTCTTTTCAAAATACAAATCTGATCTCATAACCCTGCTGAAAACTCTCCCACGGCTTTCTCCCATGATTAACTCCTAAGACAGACCAAAACGCGTAAGGCCCTAGGAACACTGGCCCTCAGCCACCCACACAGCCTCCCCTCCTGCCGTGACTCTCTGACCGCCTGCGCCGCAGCTACCCAGCGGGCCTCCAGGGAGGCCAGCTCCCTCCCAGCGACTTGAGCGTTGCCATTCCCAGCTGGAACACTGTTCTCTCATCTCTCCCACCACATAAGGACTTCCCTGCTTTACCGCTATTCTTTTTCAGATCTCAGCACAATTATTCCAGTCTCCTCAGGGAAGCCTGCCTTCCTTCATAGGCCTCTGCTATCTGCCTCCACAGGCCCCCTTAAAGCACTTACTGTCACTGAAATTATCTGTGAAACTCTCTGACTGACTAATGCCTGCATCCTGCAGTCAACCATAAGCCTCATGAGGACAGCAACCGTGTCTGCTTTGGCTCACCACTGTCTTCCCATCACTGGCAGATAATTATTTATTGACTCCTTAATTTAAAGAACAAATAAACAAATGATAGACCTGAAGATGAACTTTTAAGAAGACACAGCATAAGGACATCAAGGGAAAGTTTAAGTCACTCCCTTGTTAGCCCAAGCTTTTAAATACATGTAGAGGACTTTACCAAAGGAAATGATGAGAAAAAAATATGTCTTTCATAAAATGGTAACAAAACCAATATTGTTCACACATACATTAGTCTTTTAATTAAAAAAAGAAAAGCTACTCATATTTCAATCCACTTTAAAGATCACTCTTTTCATTACAGTGACTCTTAACACATTTGAGAATTCCCTAAATAATGGGCAGGCCCCAAAATTACTACCACCACCACCAAGGAGAGTGTTACATTGTCCTCCATCTAAAAGTTTTCTTTCCATAGTCTTTGCAATAACAAGTTAGAAACCCTGCACCACCAATGTCCAACAGAAATATACTGCAAGTCACAATTTCCCAGTAATTACATTTAAAAAATAAAAAAGAAACAAGTGAAATAAATTGCAAGAATTCTATTTAACCCGCACTATCCAAAATATTATCATTTAAAATGTAATCAACATTTAAAAAGCTTATTAGTAAGTATTTTACATTCTTTTTTTTGTACTAATTCTTGGAAATCCATTATGTATTTTCAACTTACAGAACATCTCAGCTCACAACTGCCACCATGCTAGTGGCTGCCACACTGAGCAGAGTAGCCTTACACCACTCCCACTTCTGATAATTATTTGCTTTCTTTCTTCCTTTAAAACACTTGCAGAAAAAGCTTTTAATGTTCTCTGTATCAAACAAAACAATACTGAGGCAAGGGGAGTATATTTACTGTAAACATCTAAAAAATAAAGGGAAGACACCCATGTTTCCAGGTTAATGTAATGATACCTTCGTAATTCATTCATGACTTTAAAAGCTTTCTTCATGTGCCAAGGATTCACTGTCACTGGGCAGTGTTTTTCAGTATTATCATCTTTTGAATCGAGAGGCTTCTGATGACCCTGCTTTGTGCATCTGTACATAAAAGAAAAGAACAGAAAAACAGAAAAAAATCTTTATTAAAGATAATTTAGTTCAGGCTTATTGGGCTGCAGGAGACACAAGGACTGCCCCTGCCACACTTATTTAGAGAAAGCCTCACAATACATCCAAATGCAAGATTAAGACACAATTTAGAACATGTTCTGATGGTCACTATGACTTTACCAGGAAAGTGGATAATTACCTCCCTGGTGTCAAAGCTCCGTCAAACATGAGCACTGACAACTCAGGAAACGTGGTTCAGCGGATACCTCCAAATAAAAATGCTAAGAAATGATCTCCTCCATTGGAAATTAACCTGTTTTTACAATCTGTTGTAGTTACACAGTATTTACACACCAAGCAGGAACAGGATCATATTTTACACAAATTTCAGAAACTTAGCATCTGATTTGAATTTTGCTCTCCATTCGTAAGGTTACTTATCCCATATACTAGTTCCAACCTACTCTATGAAGACATCAATCATGTTAACTAGAGTGTGAGTATTGACTGTAGGGCAATGACTATAGTAAGTATTTTTCTTTCACTGTTTGCTTAATCCTCACAACTCTCTAAGCTAATTACTATTATTATCCCCATTTAACAGATGAAGAGATTGAGGCCAAAAATAATTCGGGTAGCTCGGTAAATGATAGAGTAAGAGGCCTGTTGGACGCTCAGGCTCATCCTTTTCACTAAGGTTCATACCATTTCCTACATTTAGCGTTGGATATTTAATTTTATATTTAAATTTATAATTTTTAAGGGCACAAGGTTATATTGGTATTACTGCATAAATTCTTTTGAGACTTGAGAAACATAAAACAGCAAATAAAATCAGGGCACCTGGAGGCTGATCCAAGTGTGGAGGTAGAATTAACTGCTAATGAACACAAGGGAACTTTGAGAAAGTGGTTTCATGACTCTAGAAATTCACTAAAAATCACTTAATCATACAATTATATGAGTAAAACTTATGGCATGTAAATTATACCTAAGTAAATCCATTAAATTAAAAAATCAGGATACCAAATTAAGCCTTTGAAGATCATACTCATATATACATCACATAAGAACAGGCAAACATCATTAGTTATTGTTGCATTTCTCTTCATACCTCTTCCTTTCCTGACCCATTTCTGAAAGGCTGATTCATTTTTTAAGTATTATCTTTTCAGCTTTGCACAGTGGCAGTATCATAGCCAATGAGTTTTATCCAAGGCACAATGATTGCTAACTGGAAACTTTAAATACCATCTTCCATTAATTCATCCAGCAATTTTTTCTGAGTGCCAACTATGTACCAAGCACTATTCTAGGCACTTGGAATATATCCATGAACAAAACAAAGATTCCTGTCCTCACAGAACTTGCAATCTAGTATGTGTGTGGAAGGATAATATACGTAACAAATCATTAAAGTAGGTGGCATGTTAGAAAATGATAAGAGCTATGGAAGAAAAGGAAAGGGGCAAGGTAAAGAGAGTCAAGAGTGTGCAACAAGACCAGGGCTGGCACCAGCACGGACAGGGCAGTGCAGATCATGCAGGGCCTTGCAGAGCATTGGGAGGACTTTGGCTTTTACCCTGAGGTACACAGGGAAGCGCTGCAGAAGAATGACACCATCCACCTTATGTCTTCAAAGGATCACTCTGGTTGCTGGTTGGGAATAGTCTATATGGGTCAAAGATGAAAGCGGGGAAGCTCTTTGGGAGGGCGATGCAGTAGGAGATGACAGTCTCTCAGAGCAGGGCAGGAGCAGTGGAGAGAGGAGCAGTGGTGAGAAGTGGCTCAGTTCTGACATATTTTAAAGGTAGTGACAACAAGATCTGTTCACAGAATGCGAGCTCTGCTCACATGTAGCATGTCCAAGAAAGAATGACTCCACGGTTTCTGGTCCGAGCAACTGGAAGGATGGAGTGTCTGTTCACTGAATGGGAAAGGCTGCATGCAGAACTGGTTTAGGGGTAAGAAGATCAAGAGCTGAGTTTTATACAGGTTGGTTTTGAGATACCAGACCTCAACATAAAGATGTCAAAAAAGGTATCAGATGGATACTAGAGCCTAGAGTTGGAGAGAAAAATCTAGCTACAGACAGCAATGTGGAAATCAGTCATTACCTAGATCGGCGATTTTCAACCGTTTTCATCTCATGGCACACAAACTAATTACTAAAATTCCGCAGCACACCAAAAGACATCTTTTTTTGCTGATCTGACAAAAAAGATAAGTATGATTCTGATTCATTCACACTGGACAGCTACTGTTGTGTTGGCTGCTTTCATTTTTTTATCTGACACTCTAAGGGAAACGAGGTCAGTGCCCCTGACTAAATAGTTGAGTACTGCATGTTTTAAAATTCTTGTGGCACACTGGTTGAAAATTGCTGACCTAGATGGTACATGAAGGCATGAAACTCAGGTACCCAAATATTAAGGTAACCTCCAATGTAACCTTCCTTATTTCCGGCTACCCACACCACCTCCCCATCCACACTGAGACAGTTGATTATTCCAGAGCTTGCCTAGGGGAAGTGAGCATCAGTCCTGCTTCCCCGCCACCTGAGAGTTTTTAAATAGGCCTTACAAACGACCTAGGGCAAGGCATTGCCTCCAGGAGATGAGCCCACAGCTGGAGAGAACAGCATAGTGTCCTCTGCTCCCGGTGGCCTCTCGCTTCTGTGCTTGTGTCTGTGTGTCTCTGTGTGCCTGCATAGAGCGGTGAGTTACACCTGGCCTAAGAAAAAGAATTAGTAAGTCTAGAAATCAAAAGATGGCAAACATCTAGATCTGGTGGAGTGGACTGGGGAAATACTTTATGGTATAAGACATCTTCTAATGATGCCACTTCATACCATTCTTGCATAAAGAAAACAATAGGAAAAGGGGGGAACTATGCAGATACATGTAACCTACACAAACCAACCATGTAACACTGAAGGTCCACATATATAAAGCAATTTAATAATGTTTATACCTGCTTCTAGTCTAATAACTTAAGAGTATTCAGTAGACAGAAAATATAACATTGAGGATTAGCAAACTATCATAGAGGGCTTTCCACAAAACACTCAGAATAGAAGAGAAAGCAACTCTGCCCTAGAACAAATATCATCAAGAGTCAAGAATATTTACATTTGCTTAAGAAATTAGAAATTAAAACTTCTTGCATTTAGAGAATTAACTTTAAGACGGCTACCATGTAACATTCAATGTCTATGTTGGTGCTTCCTTATAGCTACTTTCAGCTCCCACTTTTTTTAATGTGCTCCAGAAACGCTGCCAAAAAAAAAAAAAGACTTTATTAAAAGGCTTTTTTTTTTTCTTAAAAGGCTTAAAGAAATAAGTAAGAAATAACACTAAAATTTTTTAAAGTGTTCTCCGTACTGAAAGCCACTTACAAACACAGCTCCCCGCCACACAGGTCCCACACAAAGGCAGCTCCCTGCCACACACTTGCAACACTAAAGGCCCTCTCCATAATTTTCCACTGCCTATGTGGTTTTGTGTTAGATGGCCTCTCGTTCAGAGGCAGAAATGAGTAACAGAACATTACACGTCATGTCTAAAACTACAGATGTGGAAAATGAACATATACTAGGAAGCATCTAAGTGGAAGGTAACCCTTCAAGTTATACCACTGTAAGTGCAGCGTTACATCTTGTCCCTGCTTCCCTTTAAAGCAAAGAGCTAGCTGGCCTTTTCCCGAAAATCTCTTCACTCTGAGAACTGTCTTTAAAATATCTGGAGAAGGTACTTTTCCAAGGTTTTTCACTTTTCAGTCTTTCCTTAACTCTACATCCCATACCGGGTCTTAATACTATCCAATGGCCTTTTGTTACAAAACCTGCTCTAAAATAGTTGAGGCATCCAAGGACTTGGTTCCCAGCCCACTGCTATATTTTGTAATACATAATTCTAAGGCTCTTCTTTCAATGACTGGCTCTTCTGCAAATTCCCAGCTGTGGGCAAGGATGGCTTCTCGGGCCAGGTAACTTTCTTTTTCTTTTTTTAAGATTTTATTTATTTCTCTTTCGAGAGAGGGGAAGAGAAGGAGAAAGAGAGAGAAAACCATCAATCAGCTGCCTCTCGTACACTACACAATGTGGGGGCGGGGGAGGCAAACCCGCAACTCTGGCATGTGCCCTCACCTGGAATCAAACTTGCCATGTTTTGCTTTGCGGGATGATGCCTAAGAAACTGAGCGACACCTGTTAGGACAGAACAGGTACCTGTCTAACTCTGGCTAAGAACACATTACTGAAAATAACTGAATTCTCTACGAAGAAGCAAACAGAGACCGGGTTGTCTCCTTCAGAGAGTCAGGACTCCATAACCAGGCAAAGGTTTTAAACCTACCGCAAGAATTTTGTGGACACCTTAAAAATTAGGTCCAGGTTTTTTTATATGTACATCATTCACTTGAGAACACTGAATTCCAATGGAGACAGAAGAATCAGGATGACCCAAGCAATTTTTTCAAGCTACACTTAACCATTCCTCTTCACATGAAGATTCAGGCAAGCGCTTTTTATAGTACTGACTGTATCAGAATGACAGCATCTCCAGGAGCAGGGGTGAAAGGAGGCTTGCATAATTTTTTGAAGTGATGTAATATATACCCCACCGCCCACTTAACTCCCACTCCAGGACAATCATCTCAGACTGAGAACAAACACTAGAAAATATGGGCCGGTTATGTTTCTAATGTTTTCTGGTGGAAACAATGCTATACTTCATGTGAATGACACAGCTGCAAAATTTAGCAGGGGACCAGACATTCTCCCATTCAGAACACCAATACTGAGCCCCTTGGTGGCCACCATCTCTGTTCTCCCTTCTGCCTCTCCACCTCAAAAGCTGCGAGACTCCCCTGCCTGCAATGAGTCACCCACCATTACTCACAAATTTTTGCCAAGTTCACGTCAGCAGCTGTTGTTTTCAAAGTCACCATCCATGCTGTATGGCTCTGAAGTTTCTCCATTGTTTTAT